AGAACAATATAGGAGTACTATATATATGATTGATCGTAAATAAAGGAGAACATTTTTTGCATTGGAATTTGGTGAAAATATTCTTTATTTTTTTGCTGTATACAAATTTTACTTTTGGCTCGAGTGTATGTATGAATTTTAATACAGAAAATGTTTACTTATAGAATTGCAAAAATTTGTTAATAAATGTGATTTAAAGAATATATGTGTTTTACAAGTATAACGAAGAGGTTATATATAGTGTCTGATTAGAATGACACACATATTATAACATAACATCAAGATATTTATTATTTAATACTGAGAATTTGTTAATATTTTGTGTTTAATATTTTTATATGACTTTATAAAAAAAATAATATATGCTATAAATAGAAAATATTAATAGAGAATATTAATAATTTCTATTATTTTTTTTAAAGTTTGTTTTTTATAAAGAAAAGTTTTTTATAATCAGTTTTTTCTATTTAAATTGTATTTTAACAGAAAATATTCGTATAAGAATTAAATTTGGATAAAAATGGCATCACGATTTAGTGGAGCATTGCAGATTACAAATTTGGATGATTTTATCACTCCATCACAGGTATATAATGATTGATGTCATCTCAATTATCCATGATCAAATCATATTCTAAATTTCAATCATATTTATATTACATTGTTACAGGAATGCATTAAACCTATAGAAATGCAATCAAGCAAAAGCAAAACAGGTGCAAAAATAAAAATACAATCGGATAACTTGGCTATTAATGAAGTAAATGTTTTTAACATTCATTTATTTATATTAAAAAGAAATAACTTAGAATTTTTTTAATAAAGTTTATTTTATAATATAGATTAGGCAATCTGAAAAATTACAAAAAGTTGAAATCACACTCGCAGATTGTTTAGCATGTAGTGGTTGCATTACATCTGCTGAGAGTGTGTTAGTTACTCAACAAAGTCAAGAAGAATTGCTTAGAGTATTTCAGGATAAGTTAGCTCAACAGGTGAGTAAATAAATATCATGATATGCAAATATTAGGAGCAGAATATATTATAATTTTTTAGAATATAATTTATCATTGAAACCTTAAAAGTATTTAAATACTGTCTAAGATGCATAATACTATAATTATATAATTTATTACATTTTAATTTATTGCATTTTTTTAATCATCTTTTTTTGTATTTTATAGAATACAGGAAGTACAAATATCAAATATATAGTAGTGAGTCTATCAGTGCAACCTGTATTGTCACTGGCACAACATTATGAACTTACACCTGAGCAAACTCTCAGTAAATTGGCAGGTTTCTTCTATAAATTAGGAGCCGATGCAGTACTAGATATGACTGTGGCCGATGATTTTGTTTTGTTAGAAGCTGCAAAAGAATTCGTTGAGCGTTATAAAGCTAATAAAGAAGGCATCAAAAATCAATTACCGATGCTATCTTCTTCTTGCCCAGGTGAAAGAAATGCTTTAACAAAAATATATGTTGATTATTCCTAAAACATGTAAAATTTTAATTTCTATGACAGGTTGGGTATGTTACGCAGAGAAAACTCATGGAAACTTTATATTACCATATATAAGTGTTACAAAATCACCTCAACAAATTATGGGATCTTTAGTAAAATATCACTTAGCTGAAAATATGGGTCTTTCACCAGAACAAATATATCATGTAACTGTAATGCCTTGTTATGACAAAAAATTGGAAGCTTCTAGAGAAGATTTTTATAACCAGCAAAAAGGGACAAGAGATGTAGATTGCGTCATAACATCAAGTATGCACATATTATAATTCTATTATATTTCTATACCAAATCATTTAGAAAGCATTAAAATGTACGTATATGAACATAAATGTATAGTTTATTTTTATATTATTTTATTTTTCAGTTGAATTGGAACAAATGCTCAATGAAGATGGTCTAGTATTAAACGAAATAGATGAAGGTGAAATCAAACAACCATTTGGTTCCTATAATAAAGAAAACGAAAACAGATTATGGGGTCATAGTGGATCGGGATCAGGTGGTTACGCGGATTTTATTTTCCGTTATGCAGCAAAGAATCTTTTTGATGAGGAGAACGTTGTGATAAACTTTAAAAATCTTAGAAATCCCGACTTCCAGGAAGCAGAATTGAAGCGAAATGATCAGGTGTTATTAAAGTTTGCTATTATTAATGGATTCAGGAATATACAAAATATAGTTCAGAAGGTGAAACGAAGCAAATGCGTTTATGATTATGTGGAAATTATGGCATGCCCATGTGGTAACTATTGCTTTATCTAAAATAAGTCATTAAGTTTCAAGTGCTAAGAAATCTTGTTAAGTTTCTTGATGTCATCATTATTGTTAGGTTGTTTAAATGGTGGAGCACAAATAAGACCTGAAGGAAATGTTCAACCCCGAGAACTTGCATCGATATTAGAAAATGTTTATCATAAACTTCCATCGAGCAGACCCGAGGAAAACAAAGTGGTGCAGAATTTGTATAAAACTTGGTTGGGAGGAGAACATACAGACAAAGTTAGCGCATATTTCAGTACACAATATCATGAGATACAAAAGATGAATACAGCACTTGCAATAAAGTGGTAATTTAGTAATAACAATATCATATGTGATTATGCATATGTGTATTTTATATAATGGATTTACTTTCTAAAATTAATTTACTTTTACGATTGTATAATAACAAAAATAAATAGTCACTAATCAATTATTAGATATTTTTAAAATCATGATTTAATCATTTAAATTATCTCAATTTAAATATGCTAATATATATCCATAATGTTAAAAAATAAATGTTATATTCTAATATAAATAATATATATATATATATATATATATATAAAGAGAAAAAGAAAGAGAGCACAAATCACATTAATAAAGTAAATTATAACATACTCATTGTGTAAAATTATATGTGATTGTATCTAAAAATGTTTCATAATAATTTTATATGTTTATTTACACAAGCCATAAAATAACAGATGATTATCACAATAAATAATATCACGATACGTGTACATATAAATACCCTTTCACAAATCATGTGAATAGCTATTATAAATACGAGATATTCTCTTATACATGTTACCTATTAATAAAGTAACATTTTTCATTTTTAATAAATATCTAAATGCTATATATCTTACATATTATTTTTTAAATTGCATTGTTTCACATAAAATGTATTATGTAAATTGTACATGATATACATCATGTGACATACACAATGTGGTACATATACACAAATAACTTTCTTAAGAAAAATAAATAAAAGAAATTCTCTTTGCATTCTATCTGCATTATGTGGAATGGAAATATTATTGTGAAACACTTTCAGTGAAACACTTATTATACATAATTTTCCTTTTTTGTTTCTCACTTCTTCCTTCTCTTTGTCTTCATAATTTAAAGTCTTTCTTTGCAACAATTATATCAATTTTTCTTACTTAAAAATTATAACAATGAATAAATAATTAAAATAAATAATTAAGTACTGCTTGATGACTTCAATTATCTGGAATTTTTGTTATCTAAAAATTTTTCATTTTCATTCATCTCTTTGGACTCTGATTTCTTTAAATCTAAATCTGGATAGCCATCTTCGATATACCTAATGGAATCATGATCCATGTTATTGTCATCTTTGTTTTCACATGTGTCTATTAACCATCCTTGATTGCTGTCAATTTCTCTAGAAACAACAAGGAATAGTTCCTTTTCCTTGCTATCTATCTGGTCCTTTAGATATATGAGTAAATCATTGTCCTGATATAAAAGAATGTATATAATTAATATTAACAAAAAATATATATATACAACATGTATATAAAAATATATTTGTCTTGATAAATTAATGTTGCATTTAATAACCTTTCCAATTAATTGTGGTGAGTCCAATTTTGAATCAAGATTATAAAAGGCACCATGAATCTTTTTTAGAGCAATCCAATGACGTCGTTTCAAAGGAAGTAACACAAAACCTAATTTATATTCAGTTGGAACATTAAGAATAAAACCCTCAATGTTGTCTAAACAAAGACATTTAGGGTCCCTATAAAAAATAAAAATTCTTAAATGTTCATAATTATAATCTCATATATATATAATTTTATTTCTTGATACAATACAGACCTACGTTTATCAAACCATACAGCTTCACGTCCTCTTCTTTGAAGAGCAGCCATAATAACATTAATATCATAATTTCCAAGTCCTAATAGTGATTTATGAGGATTAATCCATACATCAGGACTTAAACTGTAACAAATTTGATCTAATTCTTGTTTGCTAAAGCCACGTTCTTGGAACAAATTGTTTAGTGCGTGCAATGCACATAGCTCCTTCACCTACAATTTAATATGTAATCTCTTAAATTAATATGCAATAATATGTAATTACTTAAATTAATACACATATAAAACACATGTATGTATACAAATCAATTTAAAAAGAAAAAAGTACTTTATTAATTCTATTAACGTTCTATCAAAAAACATTTTTATTGTATATTTTTTATGCATAAATGCATAACAACAATCTATAAATATACATAATATTATCAAATCTTACTTGTCGCTCATGGTAAATGGTTCCAGTCATATCAGTCGCTGTGCTTGCAACCATTGTAACTACATAATTTTTTCGGTCCTCTGTAATGTGTTGATACTTTTTTTGCGTAAAAACTGTTGTGAAAAATTTAATGACGAATAAATAATATCGGAGAGTCGTTTGGAATCTTAATAACTCACTCTCACTCTGTTGTTGTCAACAATTTCACGTGCAAAGACGCGATAAATATCATTCAAATTCGAGAAAACACATGTACAATTGTAGCAGGACAGTGACAAATCTGTATTAAAAATCCTGACTGATATGGACCAGCATAGATGTAGAGTATTTTTCTTATCTATCTCTTGATACTGGTCTCTAGTCATGAAAGCTTGACGGAAAGGTGCGAAAATATTCCGAGTAAAGACCCACAAGACTCGACTTTTCAGCTTCTGATGGAGTTATTTCGTACATGGGGATGACCAAATATGGCGTCATAATACATAGAGCCTTTCTAATCAGAGCGCGTTATAAGACAGCAATTTGTGATTGGTTCCGCCATTTTTTGTGCGCCCTAGTTTTTTTTTAATTACCAATCAGGAACGAAGATTCCTTCATCATGATTGGTCTATTAAATATGTTTCGTATATCTCTCTTTCGTAGAATTTTGATAAAAAATGGCGAATTATAAGACAGCAATTTGTGATTGGTTCTGCCATTTTTTGTGCGCCCTAGTTTTTTTTTAATTACCAATCAGGACGAAGATTCCTTCATCATGATTGGTCTATTAAATATGTTTCGTATATCTCTCTTTCGTAGAATTTTAATAAAAAATGGCGAATTGTATGTATGCTATGATGAGACTCTTATGAAAAGTTTCCAGGTGCCGAGGAATTGAACAAAATAAAATAAAGAATACTTCCTCGCATAGGATACAGAATCGCAGAAACGCATAGGATATAGAATCTTGCGAGCCATTCAATGTGCGTGAAAACTTACTGAGTAATACCAAAATTAACGTGATGGAGTTTGTACATTCTGATGAAGAGGAACTTCAGAAGGATATCAAGGAGAGAGATAGTTTTGCTAACCGTCTTAAAGCCAGAGATGAAAGCAAAACACGCAAAATTGCTATGCCTAGTGGTTCTGGAGCCGGTAAATTGCAAAGAAAATATCTCATTTCTTTATCTTTAATCATAACTAATACAGCAAGAGAGTTACATATATTACATTATATATAAATTAATATTGCAGCGAGAGAATTTTTTAAAATTCTTTTCTTCTATTTTGAAATATATATTTTCTGTTCTTGCAGCTGAAGCAGCTAAAAGGCTTAAAATTATGGAGGTTGATGCAAAAGAAAAACTGGTACCAAAATTAAGAGTTGAATCTCGTAGAAAATATTTGGAGAAACGTAAAGAGGACAAAGTTGCAGAATTGGAGGCTGATATTCTTGATGACGAATATTTATTTGAAGAAGAAGTGTAATTTTATACAGAGATGATTTTTTTTATAATTAACTTTAAAACCTTAATTATAACTAATATACTTGTTAATAGTTTAACAGAAAGGGAAAAGCATGAAAGATCTCGAAAGAAGCAATTATTGTATTTGGCAAAAGAACATGAAAAGGCGAGGGAGCTTGAGCGTATTCAGCGTTATCATATGCCTCTTGAGAAGGGTAAGGTGGAACCAGAACCTGATGTTGACAAAGAACCCCCACAGTCGGAACAAAGTAAATGGGAATCAGATCAGATATCATCAGCTGTTTTTCGTTTTGGTGCTAAAGATAGAAAAGGTATATATTAACCATTAAAAGTGAGTGATTATTTGTGTATATATATATATATGTATAAAATATTTTCTTTAACTTAAATAATTTTATAATTCTTTTTTGTAGCTCAACAAGAATATAGTCTTCTCATGGAGGATGAGATGATAGAATTTGTTCAAGTATTACATATGCCAGGGCATGATAGGGAGAAAAAACGTGAAGAAAGTCCACCTGCACATGTTAAAAGCTTGCAAACGATACAAGAAACAAAGAAGAGTCTACCCATTTATCCTTTTAGAAAAGATTTGATACAAGCTATCAAGGAGCATCAGGTAAATAAGTAGATATCAGAATAAAAATTGGTAAAAAACAATATTATAGAATACAAGAAGCATTACATTTTTGAATATTAGGTTTTGATAATAGAAGGTGAAACGGGATCGGGGAAAACCACTCAGATTCCACAATATTTGTATGAATCTGGATTTGCAGAGGATGGTAAAATTATTGGATGCACACAGGCGAGTAGCAACTTTAAATTGATTTTATTTATCTATTCCATGCATTAATCCATGCATTAATACAACTTTAAATTGATTTTATTCTATTCATTTTATTATATCTTTCTTAATTTTTCTTATAGTTTTAATACATTTATCTATTTTTTCTTCATCAAACTGGATTATCTAATCCTTTAAGTAGAAGTCTACAGTTTATTTTCATCCTTATTTTTCTTTTAAAGATAATTTTGAATTTATAAGTTTTATTTTTATATTTTCAATTATTAATTATATAAATCCTATATTTAGGAATCCTGATAATATTATTCCTGCTAATCCTATAATTACTCCAATTCATATATTCAACCTGAATGATATTTCTTATTTGCTTATGCCATCCTCCGCTCTATTCTAATTAAACTTAGAGGTGTAATTGCCTTATTATCTTCCATCTTGATTCTCTATTTATTTCCAATTATTAATTCAAATTAAGATCTTTTTCTATTTATCCAAATGAATTTCTATATTGAATTTTTATAAATAATTTTATTTTTTTAACATGAGTAGGAGCTCAAATTATTGAATATTCTTTCATTACGATTAGTCAATTATTATCAGTAATTTATTTTATCTATTTTTTTATTTATTATTATATTATTTATTAAAATTTGAGATAAAATTCTATTTAATAAATAAATAATTTAATTTATACATCCTCTTAAATTTAAATTAATTAATATTTTATTTATTTTATTTTATAAATTAATCTAAAATTAATTCAAATAATTTTTATATTCAAATTAATGAACTCGATTTAAAGTTTACATTTTGAAAATATGAAAATACAAAGAAATTTAAAATTTTCTATCAACTTTAAAATTTAATTATTTTATTAATTTATAATCGTTAATATATATTTAAATCCCAAAATAAAACATATATATATATATCAAAATTAAAGGTACAATAACTTTTTAACATATTCTATTCATGCTACAGCCGCGGCGAGTAGCAGCGATGTCGGTGGCTGCAAGAGTGGCTCACGAAATGGCCGTTAAATTGGGCAATGAAGTTGGATATGCTATTCGTTTCGAAGATTGTACGTCGCATCGCACCCGAATCAAGTATATGACTGATGGTACATTGCACCGAGAGTTCCTTAGTGAACCTGATCTGGCGTCGTATAGGTATATATTTATAAACATCATTAATAGAGTCAAAAAAGAAAAATTATCAAGATAAAGACATAATAGTTTGAAAAGTTGAAAAGTTTGAAAGTTTGAAAAGTTGAATAAAAAAAATAAAACGAGATAAAAAAAGAATAAACAAGAAAAATTAAAAATAATTGTAAGTAATGTTTAACAAATTAAAATTGTGTGTGTCTAAATATTATACAGAAATGTTGAGTTTTAGTATATATTGATAACTTATTATGATACCTATTTTTTATATTTTTAGCGTAATGATAATTGATGAAGCACACGAACGGACTTTACATACTGACATATTATTTGGATTAGTGAAAGACATTGCGAGGTTTCGTCCCGATTTAAAACTATTAATATCATCAGCTACGTTGGATGTTACAAAATTTAGTGAATTTTTCGACGATGCACCTATATTTAGGATACCTGGACGTCGTTTTCCCGTCGATATTTACTACACAAAGGCACCGGAATCAGATTATATTGAGGCGTGTGTAGTTTCCATTCTTCAAATTCACACAACACAACCATCAGGAGATATATTGGTGTTTTTGACTGGTAAGTATTAATATGTCTAAAATATTTTTGCAAAATATAGTGAAAATATATTTTCTTATACAGGGCAAGAAGAAATTGAAACATGTCAGGAAATATTACAGGAGAGAGTGAGAAGACTGGGTAGCAAGTTGGCAGAACTCCTAATTTTACCTGTATATGCGAATTTACCAAGCGATATGCAAATTAAGATATTTCAACCAACTCCACCTGGTGCGAGAAAGGTAATATTCTCTTAAAAAGTCATAATATTCTTTTAAAAATTATATATATATATAATATATATATAAAATTCAAATTCTTTTATCTTTAAGGTAGTATTAGCGACTAATATAGCAGAGACATCATTGACCATAGACAACATAGTGTATGTAATAGATCCTGGCTATGCAAAGCAAAACAATTTTAATCCACGCACCGGTATGGAAAGCTTAATAATCGTACCGATCAGTAAAGCATCCGCTAGTCAGGTAATATTTTTTTTTTAAATCTATATGCTTTTTCCTTTTTAATTATACAGAAAATTTCAATGAAAACAAAACGTTTTAGAGAGCGGGACGTGCTGGTAGAGTAGCACCCGGCAAGTGTTTTCGTCTCTACACAGCTTGGGCCTATCAACACGAACTTGAAGATAGCACTGTACCCGAGATTCAAAGAATTAATCTTGGTAAGACTTAACGAAAATGTACATTATTAAATTATAACAATGTTATATTTTCCTATTCTTAAGTTCTTCATTTTATATATATTCATAATAATATATATGTATAATTATTTAATAATTATTTAATAATTAATCTTTTATATATATTTAATAATTATTTAATATATAATATATAATATAATTAATATATAATAATTATTTAATAATTAATCTTATATATATAATTATATAATATTCTTAAGATTATATATATAATTATTCAAAATACATTTTATTTATGTTTGTATAGGTAATGCAGTACTCACTTTGAAAGCTCTCGGTATCGATGATCTGATGCACTTTGATTTCTTGGATCCTCCGCCACCTGAAACACTAATTTTGGCCCTGGAGCAACTCTATGCGTTGGGCGCGCTCAATCATCGCGGAGAACTAACAAAACTTGGACGTAGAATGGCTGAGTTTCCGCTGGATCCAATGATGGCTAAGATGCTATTAGCTAGTGAAAAATATCGTTGTTCGGAAGAGATAGCAACTATTGCGGCCATGCTTTCAGTAAATGGCGCTATTTTTTATAGACCAAAGGACAAAATTATACACGCAGATGCTGCGCGCAAAAATTTTTACGTACTGGGTGGTGATCATCTGACACTTCTTAATGTATATAATCAATGGGCACAGAGTGATTTTAGTACACATTGGTGTTACGAAAATTTCATACAACATAGGTATATTAATTATTAATAATATATTAACAAAATTTTATAAGATAACTTTGTTATGATTTGCTTTCCAGATCCATGAAACGAGCAAGAGACGTTAGAGAACAGTTAGTAGGTTTAATGCAACGTGTAGAGATGGAATTAGTTTCAGGTATCACAGAAACTATTAATATTAGAAAGGTGTGTATATATATATATTAACTGACAATAAACTGATGTTATTTTACAAAATATAATGGAAATATTTTTGTTTAGGCTATTACAGCTGGTTACTTTTACCATGTGGCACGGTTGTCAAAGGGAGGTCATTATAAGACTGCAAAGCATAATCAAACAGTCGCTATACACCCAAATAGTTCTTTATTCCAGGAACTTCCACGCTGGCTTCTTTATCATGAACTTGTCTTTACTACCAAGGAATTTATGCGTCAGGTATATATAAAAATATAACTAATTTGTCTAAATTTAAATCTGTTTATAAATTTAAAAGTTATACTGTCTTAATTTAAAAAATCGTATATTAAACAGGTGACAGAAATTGAAAGCAAATGGTTATTAGAAGTGGCGCCTCACTATTATAAACCTAAAGAGATAGAAGACTCAACGAACAAGAAGATGCCTAAAGTTACAGGCAGAGCACGACCAGATGGTACAAATTAAATATAATTCCGTACTATTATTCAACTGTGATATTAAATTACATTTTGTACAGTGTACATGAAAAGCAATACCACTCCACATTAGATTCAATTGTCTAGTGTTATTCTGCAACAAGATTGGTTCTGTTTCACACACACATACTTTGTAGAACTTTTTATTTGAAAATTATAAAACATATAAAGAGAACTGTTATTATTTCATATATAAAGCCTAATATTAACATTCTTACAGTCATAGTCAATTTTTGCAATCTATTTCATTAGACAGTAAAATATAAATGCTAATGAAAATTTTTTGACCAATAAAACGATTTTAAGTAACGTTTATAAGCATAAGTGCTCGAAAAAATTTCAATAAACGTAATATTTGATATAGACGATTTTATGAGTCCATATATAGACGCAATTGGATTTTATGTACATATAAGAAGCCCACATATTTTATATGAAAAAAGTGGCTTCAGTTAAGTTGACTGAAATTGAAATATGTGATAGTTTAGGTGATGCTAATCAAAAGTTTCTTCGATGGTTTAAAGTGAGTGCTATTGAAATTTAAGAATGCCTATTTTTGAATACATAGATTAAATTAATATATAAATATTTGAAGAAAAAAGAATATATATAGATATGTATATAATGTGTACCATTTCTACAGTATTTAATAACTCAAAACCCTCTCTGTCGTACGTGTGTGTGTATCCAAAGATCAGGCACACGCGTGCGCACACGTATGCATATATATATATATATATATATATATATATATATATATATATATATATATATATATATATGATAGAGAGGGTTTAGAATTATTAAATACTGTAGAAGTGGCATATATTACACACACACACATACATATATTTTTTCTTTTTTTCTAAATATTTACATATTAATTCAATCTGTATCAAAAAACACATTTCTTCAATATAAACTTCACCCTTCAAGATAAACTTCAATATCATTCATTCAAATCATCGTATCTTTTATATTTTTGATTTTCAGACTTTTTCCACGAGAAAACTTTTAATCAGCATCGCCTAAACTATAACATATTTTAATTTTAGCTAATTTGAAGCCACTTTTTTCACATAAAATGTGCGGAATCTTTTATACTATATATATTAATAAATCATAATGTACGCGCACCTTTTATTCACAATTTATAACAAACGTGCTCATTAAAATTCTTTTAGCGATTAAATTAATACTAATACAGTATGTACAGATTAATATATTATTTTTTTATAGGCCAATTTGAAATAGTAATAAACTCTAAAATATTGCAGATTTTTATTTTATTCTAGAATACTTTTTCTTCTTGGATTTTTATTCCATTAAAAACACAGAAAGTACTACGATTTAAATACCACTCTGGAACAATTATTTTCCTGTAAACTGAAATTTTCTTCTCTTGTGTGGTATTAATCTCATATTACATAATTATATGTATATAGCTATATGAATCAGATGCAAGAAAATGAATAAAAGGTACAATATGTTACACTTATTTTTCCAAATATCCCGTTAGAAATAATTGAATCTATACAAACTATACTATGTAATCTACACAAAATGTTCAGAAACGAAAAAAAATATTAAAATATATCACATAATTACATTTTAATTATTTGAACTCTATCAAGAGATAGCACATTTTCTCTTTGTCAAACTTTTTTTTACTCCTTAATTTCTAATTTTTATTCTAATGACATATGTGAAAATTAAATGTTATTGTATAATTTGTTTTTCATTGATTACCACATAGAAAATGTGAAAATAGTCAATTATTGAATCATTGGACATTTAAATGCTTTAAATGTCGAAGAATTACATTTTTTTTATTTGTAAAGAGAGGAATAAAGAAATAAACAAATATGCCCCCAAAACATACTTTCTTTAAGAATCCATTTTATATTGTTTACAGAAAATTAATACATATAATTTTAATTAATATAATATAAATCAAAATATATATAAAGACAATTCTATAGATGCTTTTAGATTGTTATATAGAAAAGATTTTAGATTTATACTTAATATACATATATATATTAAGATTAAAATATATTACAAATATTATATAAAAGAACAAATATATAACAATAGCCACATAAAATAAGCATAAAATAGAACAAAGATGTAATAATATAAAATATATCCAGATACTTTATATTATTCGTATTATTTGTTAGATTCTTTTATGAAATCAAAATATTATATGAAATCAATAATAATGCTGAAAGTTTATGAACATTTTCTTGAATAATAATAATCTCATATATAATGTTTGAAATGTTCAACATAGCAATTCTTTATATCATTTACACATGATTTTAATTTTATTTTTTATTCTCTTTGTTTCTCTGAATTTTGCAAATCTACTCAGAAAAAATAGAAAAGGACACAATCTACATATGCTGTATGTCAATGGAATTATTTTAATTTTTTAAAATAATTATTTTAATTAAGTTCTCATCAAGAAAACATGATTAATAAGTGTTTGCTTTTTGATATATATATATATATATATATATATATATATATATATATATATGTAGATTTTGTTTTTGAAAATGTCCATTTTCAAAATAATTTTTTGTATTATTCAGTATTGATAGAATATGGTTTGGTAGAACTTTGTAACAATGTAAAGATCTTCTATGTGTTTCTTGCTCCTTGTTTTCCCAGTTTTCAATCTTGAAATTATTACGATTAGCTGAATAATTTGTGATATTTCTTTTCACCACAATTCCATATTATTCAATATATAGAGTTACAAAATATAATAAGTATAATAAGTATAATAAGTATAAAGACTATAAAGATTTTTAAAACGGTCCATATCCTGCAAAATATCATATTATACATGTATATGAAATATATATAATATATCTTATATTACAATTATATATTATCTGTATTTACTTGGGTTTGGTGGTGGAGGTCCCAATCTGTACATATCCGGAGGAATAAACCGTGGAGGGAATGGTCTAACCGGTGCCATTAGAGCAGAATGTCGGCCTCTTCCCATAGGAGGGACTTGTCCTCTAAATGGGACCATAGGGCTTACTACAATTGGTCTTGGAGGAAGATTCTAGAAGTTGAAAAACGAATCAATTACAAGTCAAATTAAAAAGATTATGGAGGTCTATAGAGACTTTGTTAGATTGAAAATTAGACTTATATGGAATTATATAACTCACATAATAGATAGGCACGTGTATTGGTGGCTCGATATAATGCGATGCAACATCTCTTCGTTCTCTGGATCTATCTCTATCTCTATCTCTATCTTTATCTCTGTCTCTTCTTTCACGAGAATGTTCACTCGATCTATCACGATATCTATCGCGATAAGATCTTTCTTCTATAAGTGGCCTATAACAATAGTAATAGAAATAATAATTATAATAAAACAAATAATGATCACATATTTTTAAAGAAAATATAGTGTTTTTTGCACATTTCTTTTACAAGTATAGTTCAATTAATCTAATAATATATTAATGTTAAATATTTTTGTAAGTGTTAATAATAATATTTTTGCAATAATAAAAATGTTAATAATAACGATCAAAGTGTATTAAGGATAACGAACAATAAAATTTGTTAATAATAACAAATCCCATCAAACACAGAATATTATAGCAATATTGCTGCAATATTACAACATTGCAGTAATGTTGCGGCAATATTACAACATTGCAGCAATGTTGCTGCAATATTCTGTGTTTGCTGGAATATGAATAATTTAATTCCATACCTGGTATGTGCGGACTTGCGCGAATCCCGTTCTCTAGAACGCGAACGGTTAGTGTATTTATGTGCATCTCTTTCTGTATATTTCTCTTTATATTCTCTGTGTTTTTCTATGCTGTTTCTTCTGTAACACAATTTTTTTTAAAATTAAGAATTACAAATTCGATTCTTTTGATCATATTTATCTTATTATTGTTTTAAAAAGTAAATATTGCTATAAAGTAAATGAAATTAGATGCTTTTTCAGCAATAAATAATGACATATCATTTTACCCATTATTTTTATGATGATCACGGAATTCTATCCTGTTATCCTGATGTTTTGTATCTGTACGGTATCTAAAATTTTAAAAAAATGTAGAAAGAATGTATATTAAGTGAATATATTATTATTGAGAATTAAAACAAACCTAGACTGGTGAGAAGATAGATATTCAGAATCATACAATGTAGGACTCAATGATAAAGAACGTTTCTTGGAAATCTGCGATTTACTGGTTGAAACTGTAATATAGTTAAAATACGAGTATTTTTCATACATGTTACATTGATATCTGAGACATAAAATGTTGAACCAAAAGTTGAAAATAAAATATTAATTTATTTATCGACAGAGAAGTATTATTTTATTCAAATTAAACAAAGATAAAATTTATAAATGAGATTTATATCTATAATTTAGTCTGGTATTATATACACTACATGTAATATATATTTGAATCTTTAGTTTCTTAAATATTTTTCTAGAGAATTTAGAATCTGAGAAAAATTACAATCGCAATTTTACAAATTTCTTGCTTTGATTAATTTATAATCAAAGCAAGAAATCTTTAAATAATTTAGCAAAATTATTTCTATAATGCGTACCTGACTGCTGCTCTCCATCTATAGCTACAACCGTACGTCGCTCTTCTATTTCATTAATCTTAGTAGCTTTTTTTATTTCTTCTCTGTCGAATATTGGTTTACATCCTTCTCCTATATTTATATTACATCTTTTAATAATTATTAATATAATTCTGATATGCATCGAGCGAAAAAATTCAGCTAATGTGTTTATATTGATTTATATTTCTTTCAATTATTCAAATTAAACGATATCGTTTTTAAATTCTTTATTCGTTATTTTTAGCGATTATTGTATCCAAAATAATGTTACAAATATTATATGATTTCAACAATAATGAAAATATTGCAACTTTATAGTAGATAAATCTAATATTTGCAAATATAATTGCATTTTAATAAAATATTTTATAAAATAAAATATTGTTGTAAAATATTTTATGTACAATTGTTAAATATTTCAATTTTTTAAATAAATATACGAAACTGTTAAATATAAAATAACTTATAAAATAAATAAATATAAAATAAATAATATAAAGAATTAATAATAAAAAGTATATTGTAATGATATAACTGTAATGATATAATTGATAAACAAAATTTCGTTATTAATAAAATTTTGAAAAAGATAATGAATTTTTTTTCCCTATATTAAAATAACGAAATATAAATTATTATATATTGCAATACATTTATATGAATTATTATTATATATTGCAATACATTTATATTTTTTTATAAGAATTAATAAAATTAATGCTAATTATTGGATTATTGCATATGAAATGATATTTTTATTTCAATGATTTTTGAAAAGATTTTATAAAAAGAAAAATAATTGGAAAAATTCAGAGAGAATATTTATTAAAAATTTGTATATTAATTATTTCACAATATTACTTTTTAAGTATGAAATTTATATTTACATCATTTTAATGTAATATAGAATTGATATCAATAAATTTATCTTATACATTCCATAACTATTAAACATTTTCTATATATGCAACAATCCAATATATAACATTTAACCTTTCATTAAATCTGATTGGAACTATTTTATATTATAATTTGATATATGATTATATTGTTTATATTAAATTAATTAAATGACACTAGGCAATACTGTAAAATATCTTCAGGATAAGAATAATATCACAATTTAATCATCTTCCAGAAAATATTCTTCCATTGTTGTCCAATTTTACAAAATATATATGGAAATATATTTTTATATTTAATCTTTTAATTACAATATTCTACTTTTATTTTTATAAATATTGATTAATTGATTATATACTTTTTTTTAAATCCAGAATGGCTTCCTACATCAGCCTGTGCTGTCCATAGGTAGGGCATTATTGAAGAATCTTCAATTGACTGTTGGTTTGATCTTCCAATGGCCTGTACCTAAATTCATCCAAATTATTTATAACAATGTTTTTGCTCTTTCCATATCTCTTAAAAATCTTTTATTATTCTTACTAGTCTTAAAAAACTTTTATTATTTTTCTTAAACAAATAAAGAAAAACGCAGACAATTTTTAAAATGGTCTTTCATATGTAAAAATTATTATTATTACTAAATGCAAAATGATATATTGATTCATATCCCCATCAATTCTCATGATTTCAATAAAATTTTTGATGTTCATATTAATAGTATTATAACTATGGCTTTGCAAACAAACTTTTATTACAAATAATATATTGTTTTGTATTTATAATATTGTATTTAATAAAAGTTCTTAATTTTAACATGTGATTTATATATTTAATATAGAAAAAGATGCAGATATAAATATATTGCTTCTATATTCATTAATGTTACAAATTCATTAATTTATAATCAAAGCAAGAAATCTTTAAATAATTTAGCAAAATTATTTCTATAATGCGTACCTGACTACTGCTCTCCATCTATAGCTACAACTGTACGTCATTAATGTTACAATATAAATTTTACATTGTGTTATTATTGTGTTTATGTCTTAATTTTAAAGGCAAGGACAGCAGTTTCTATAAAGGAAAAAAAATTTTTATATCTGTTTTTTAATATCTTCGTTTGTTGCATTTTGTATGGTATTAATTTTGAAGAATTTAATTTTATCTTCATTATATGTTGATCTTCTTCAGTCATTAATTTTATTTTTTTTATCCTTCATCAATGACAATGACATCTTCTGTGAAGCAGATATTGTTCAATTAATACACACACACACACATTAATTGTACATATATGTATATATATGTATATAAAACATAATGTATATAACAAACATAATGTATATAAAACAATGATCAATATTGTGTGCATGATTGTATTTAATCATATATGATTAAATATATTAATATAAATTTCAAATATAACGATTCAAAGATAATTGTACAATTATTTTTTTATGTTTTTTTGTGTCACACTTTGAAAGTCTAAATTAATATTATTTGTGGCGTATTAAATATCAAAAGATACTTATTTTGTAAAAAACAAATATAAAAAACAATTTCCGTAAAATCTCTACACTTATAATAACCAAATACATATTTTTTAATTAAAAGTGATTTATGCTTATTGATAATAGATAAATTATTAATAAATATTTTAATGTATAATTTGATATATTTAAATGTATAATTTGATATATATGTATAATTTGATATATTTAAATGTATAATTTGATATATTTAAATGTATAATTTGATATATGAACTAATTATATTAACTTGACTGAAATAATAATGTATATATTAATAGTGTATAAAATTTTCAACAAGAAATAATATTCTTTCAAATCATCTTTTCAATATCACCTCATCAATCACCTTCCAAAAAAATATATATTTTAATGTTAGTAATAATCTCTAAATTTTAAGATCATATTTTGTATATTATATTTAGCAACAAATCTTTTCTTAGATTTATATTTTGGCCAATTAAACAGTAAATTTACATATATACAGTACATACCTGAGTATTAATATTTTCCAATTTTTATTATAACATATGTGCACACATATTTTCCTTTTAGCTAGAATATAAATAAATATTGATTAATCATTTATAGTGGCAAAATGTCATAAAATTATGACATCAATAAATATGTAACAATTAAAAATTTTATATTTATTTTAAATCTGAGCACTAAAATGTCATCAAATGTATCACTATATATTATTGTATATTTTAATAAACTTTATAATTTTATTTAATTTTCATATACATAGAAGAAACCATTTTAAAATATTATATATTTTACTTTTGTTGTGTTTAATTAACTTTAATTATTAATTAACTTTAATATGAACAAGTGAGAAAGTTTTCATACCTGTTTTCATATTTGTTATCTTTTCCATTCTTACTTTTCTTAGTGTATTAATCATAAAAATATAATCTTGTCTTCGTTATTAACTTTTTTTTCCAATTTGTTCCATTTCTTTAGTATTGTTACATAATATAACGTTTGTTGTAAACGTAACATCTTCTATGAATCAGAATTTTATTGATGTTACATCTTAGACTCTTCAGACAAGGGGGAGAGGGGTATCTACCGTAGACCCATCGTCCTTAAAGACTCCTCAAGTCCCTGCTTTGGCATTCGCCCTTCGTCCCACGGAAAAACCACGGATCAAAAACCGTGGGCAAAGCAGTTTCTCTCTAAGAAACAATATTTTTCTGCTTTTCCAAAGGCTTCTCTGTTTAAAGAAAAATGTTTGAAAAGAAGAAAATAATTGGGGGTTCTTTGCAAGATGTTGGTTCTTGATGATTTTTCGGAGATAATCTTCCGATGACGTCTTCGTATAACGAATATTAAATAACATCGTCAAAGATAGCTTCAGGGATGAAATATAAGGCCCATCGTCCTCACGAGGACTCTCCAAGTCCCTGCTTTGGCATTTGCCCTTCGTCTCACGGAAAAATCGTGAGCAAAACAGTTTCTCTCTAAGAAACAGTATCTTTCCGCTTTTCCAAAGGCTTCATCTGTTTAAAGAAAAATTGTTGAAAAGAAGAAAATAATTGGGGGTTCTTCGCAAGATGTTGGTTCTTGATGATTCTTCAATTCGGAGATAATCTTCCGATGATGTCTTCGCATAACGAATATTAAATCATATCGTCAAAGACAGCTTCAAGGATAAAATATAAGGCGCAATAATATATATACTTTTAAAAATAATACTTAAATATATATAATACTTAAATTATGTAATTATTTCCAGAATTTCTAGAAGAAAACTTATATAATTCTTTATAAAAAATGTAATATAATATTTAAAATTGCACTCTTAAGATCAATTATGTTTATAACTCAACTCGTAGCTCAAATGCATGATTCGCAAGTAAATAAAAGAAATATTATTTTGTTAAAATAAATTAAAATATTTAATAACAATAAATTTTTTAACCATAAAAAAACAAATAATAATTAATGTAGGAATTGTGAATAAGAATAAAACTGATTGCGGAAATTGCATACAATTATGTTCATGTTAAATTCTTTCTTTGTTATTATCCGTTGTTTTTCAAAGATGATTTCTCTTGCTTGTATGTAATCTTCATGCAGCTTTATTGATTTTGCAAATTCTTCATAGAAATAAAATTATTTATATTTTATAAAATATTTCTCTTTTTTTTTAAATCACGTCAATATATATGATCAAAAAATTTAGAGAAAATATAAAGATGGACTCTTTTTCTTTTTTAAAACACTAAATACTATAACAATTTTTTATTTATCCTAAACTATCGCTAAATATATTATTACATTATTTTTTAGTCTCTTTGGAATTTTGACATTAATCATCAATCAATTTTTTATTCAAGAATTATTTATTAAATATTCATTTTAATATTCTTTAAAATCTTGATGATTCTTCAGCTCGGAGATATCTTCTGATGACGTCTTCGTATAACGAATATTAATATACTCTTTAAAATCTTGAATATTTTGATTTTATTTTAATATTATAATAAAAAAATATCCTAGTAATATTTCTAATCAAAAAAGAGATAAGAGTAAAGATGACTTTTGTGAATTTATCATTTTTTAGAATTTAAATAACCTTATCTACTTATCAGTTGTTATATAAATGATGAGAAGATAGATAATTATCCATTTATGTTCCTTTTCCACATACACACATAAATTCTATTTCATGTAAAGAGTATCCAAGAGTTTCTTTTTTGCATTTTCTAACATTTTTCAATTACTTTTGAAAATCACAAATTTAAAAAATCCATGAAGACAATTTTTCTTTCTTTTTTTTTTCTATAAATTTCTTAAATATGATTNAAAGAAAAATAATTGGAAAAATTCAGAGAGAATATTTATTAAAAATTTGTATATTAATTATTTCACAATATTACTTTTTAAGTATGAAATTTATATTTACATCATTTTAATGTAATATAGAATTGATATCAATAAATTTATCTTATACATTCCATAACTATTAAACATTTTCTATATATGCAACAATCCAATATATAACATTTAACCTTTCATTAAATCTGATTGGAACTATTTATATTATAATTTGATATATGATTATATTGTTTATATTAAATTAATTAAATGACACTAGGCAATACTGTAAAATATCTTCAGGATAAGAATAATATCACAATTTAATCATCTTCCAGAAAATATTCTTCCATTGTTGTCCAATTTTACAAAATATATATGGAAATATATTTTATATTTAATCTTTTAATTACAATATTCTACTTTTATTTTTATAAATATTGATTAATTGATTATATACTTTTTTTTAAATCCAGAATGGCTTCCTACATCAGCCTGTGCTGTCCATAGGTAGGGCATTATTGAAGAATCTTCAATTGACTGTTGGTTTGATCTTCCAATGGCCTGTACCTAAATTCATCCAAATTATTTATAACAATGTTTTTGCTCTTTCCATATCTCTTAAAAATCTTTTATTATTCTTACTAGTCTTAAAAAACTTTTATTATTTTTCTTAAACAAATAAAGAAAAACGCAGACAATTTTTAAAATGGTCTTTCATATGTAAAAATTATTATTATTACTAAATGCAAAATGATATATTGATTCATATCCCCATTAATTCTCATGATTTCAATAAAATTTTTGATGTTCATATTAATAGTATTATAACTATGGCTTTGCAAACAAACTTTTATTACAAATAATATATTGTTTTGTATTTATAATATTGTATTTAATAAAAGTTCTTAATTTTAACATGTGATTTATATGTTTAATATATAAAAAGATGCAGATATAAATATATTGCTTCTATATTCATTAATGTTACAAATTCATTAATTTATAATCAAAGCAAGAAATCTTTAAATAATTTAGCAAAATTATTTCTATAATGCGTACCTGACTACTGCTCTCCATCTATAGCTACAACTGTACGTCATTAATGTTACAATATAAATTTTACATTGTGTTATTATTGTGTTTATGTCTTAATTTTAAAGGCAAGGACAGCAGTTTCTATAAAGGAAAAAAAATTTTTATATCTGTTTTTTAATATCTTCGTTTGTTGCATTTTGTATGGTATTAATTTTGAAGAATTTAATTTTATCTTCATTATATGTTGATCTTCTTCAGTCATTAATTTTATTTTTTTTATCCTTCATCAATGACAATGACATCTTCTGTGAAGCAGATATTGTTCAATTAATACACACACACACATTAATTGTACATATATGTATATATATGTATATAAAACATAATGTATATAACAAACATAATGTATATAAAACAATGATCAATATTGTGTGCATGATTGTATTTAATCATATATGATTAAATATATTAATATAAATTTCAAATATAACGATTCAAAGATAATTGTACAATTATTTTTTTATGTTTTTTTGTGTCACACTTTGAAAGTCTAAATTAATATTATTTGTGGCGTATTAAATATCAAAAGATACTTATTTTGTAAAAAACAAATATAAAAAACAATTTCCGTAAAATCTCTACACTTATAATAACCAAATACATATTTTTTAATTAAAAGTGATTTATGCTTATTGATAATAGATAAATTATTAATAAATATTTTAATGTATAATTTGATATATTTAAATGTATAATTTGATATATATGTATAATTTGATATATTTAAATGTATAATTTGATATATTTAAATGTATAATTTGATATATGAACTAATTATATTAACTTGACTGAAATAATAATGTATATATTAATAGTGTATAAAATTTTCAACAAGAAATAATATTCTTTCAAATCATCTTTTCAATATCACCTCATCAATCACCTTCCAAAAAAATATATATTTTAATGTTAGTAATAATCTCTAAATTTTAAGATCATATTTTGTATATTATATTTAGCAACAAATCTTTTCTTAGATTTATATTTTGGCCAATTAAACAGTAAATTTACATATATACAGTACATACCTGAGTATTAATATTTTCCAATTTTTATTATAACATATGTGCACACATATTTTCCTTTTAGCTAGAATATAAATAAATATTGATTAATCATTTATAGTGGCAAAATGTCATAAAATTATGACATCAATAAATATGTAACAATTAAAAATTTTATATTTATTTTAAATCTGAGCACTAAAATGTCATCAAATGTATCACTATATATTATTGTATATTTTAATAAACTTTATAATTTTATTTAATTTTCATATACATAGAAAAACCATTTTAAAATATTATATATTTTACTTTTGTTGTGTTTAATTAACTTTAATTATTAATTAACTTTAATATGAACAAGTGAGAAAGTTTTCATACCTGTTTTCATATTTGTTATCTTTTCCATTCTTACTTTTCTTAGTGTATTAATCATAAAAATATAATCTTGTCTTCGTTATTAACTTTTTTTTCCAATTTGTTCCATTTCTTTAGTATTGTTACATAATATAACGTTTGTTGTAAACGTAACATCTTCTATGAATCAGAATTTTATTGATGTTACATCTTAGACTCTTCAGACAAGGGGGAGAGGGGTATCTACCGTAGACCCATCGTCCTTAAAGACTCCTCAAGTCCCTGCTTTGGCATTCGCCCTTCGTCCCACGGAAAAACCACGGATCAAAAACCGTGGGCAAAGCAGTTTCTCTCTAAGAAACAATATTTTTCTGCTTTTCCAAAGGCTTCTCTGTTTAAAGAAAAATGTTTGAAAAGAAGAAAATAATTGGGGGTTCTTTGCAAGATGTTGGTTCTTGATGATTTTTCAGCTCGGAGATAATCTTCCGATGACGTCTTCGTATAACGAATATTAAATAACATCGTCAAAGATAGCTTCAGGGATGAAATATAAGGCCCATCGTCCTCACGAGGACTCTCCAAGTCCCTGCTTTGGCATTTGCCCTTCGTCTCACGGAAAAATCGTGAGCAAAACAGTTTCTCTCTAAGAAACAGTATCTTTCCGCTTTTCCAAAGGCTTCATCTGTTTAAAGAAAAATTTTTGAAAAGAAGAAAATAATTGGGGGTTCTTCGCAAGATGTTGGTTCTTGATGATTCTTCAATTCGGAGATAATCTTCCGATGATGTCTTCGCATAACGAATATTAAATCATATCGTCAAAGACAGCTTCAAGGATAAAATATAAGGCGCAATAATATATATACTTTTAAAAATAATACTTAAATATATATAATACTTAAATTATGTAATTATTTCCAGAATTTCTAGAAGAAAACTTATATAATTCTTTATAAAAAATGTAATATAATATTTAAAATTGCACTCTTAAGATCAATTATGTTTATAACTCAACTCGTAGCTCAAATGCATGATTCGCAAGTAAATAAAAGAAATATTATTTTGTTAAAATAAATTAAAATATTTAATAACAATAAATTTTTTAAACCATAAAAAAAAACAAATAATAATTAATGTAGGAATTGTGAATAAGAATAAAACTGATTGCGGAAATTGCATACAATTATGTTCATGTTAAATTCTTTCTTTGTTATTATCCGTTGTTTTTCAAAGATGATTTCTCTTGCTTGTATGTAATCTTCATGCAGCTTTATTGATTTTGCAAATTCTTCATAGAAATAAAATTATTTATATTTTATAAAATATTTCTCTTTTTTTTTAAATCACGTCAATATATATGATCAAAAAATTTAGAGAAAATATAAAGATGGACTCTTTTTCTTTTTTAAAACACTAAATACTATAACAATTTTTTATTTATCCTAAACTATCGCTAAATATATTATTACATTATTTTTTAGTCTCTTTGGAATTTTGACATTAATCATCAATCAATTTTTTATTCAAGAATTATTTATTAAATATTCATTTTAATATTCTTTAAAATCTTGATGATTCTTCAGCTCGGAGATAATCTTCTGATGACGTCTTCGTATAACGAATATTAATATACTCTTTAAAATCTTGAATATTTTGATTTTATTTTAATATAAAAAATATTTAATATATAATAAAAAAATATCCTCCTAGTAATATTTCTAATCAAAAAAGAGAATAAGAGTAAAGATGACTTTTGTGAATTTATCATTTTTTAGAATTTAAATAACCTTATCTACTTATCAGTTGTTATATAAATGATGAGAAGATAGATAATTATCCATTTATGTTCCTTTTCCACATACACACATAAATTCTATTTCATGTAAAGAGTATCCAAGAGTTTCTTTTTTGCATTTTCTAACATTTTTCAATTACTTTTGAAAATCACAAATTTAAAAAATCCATGAAGACAATTTTTCTTTCTTTTTTTTTCTATAAATTTCTTAAATATGATTTTCAGATACCTTCATTGAAGTTTTTGGCCTTTCTCTTCGAGATTGTAGATTTTAAAATCAAAACTTTAAAAGAAATATTAGATGGTTAGTTGTTTCTATTTTTCTCCAAAGTGCCAAATCTCTTCCAGAACAATATATTGATTGTGTGTTTTATCCTCAAATTGCTTTTAACGAGTTATACTATTTCTTGATCATTTATTTGTAGATTAATCCTTCTCTAAAAAGTTTTTTATAATAAATATCATTAATCAACTTTCTTAATTCATTGTGATAGGAATATTTCTTTTATTTTTTATTGTACCTACATATAACTCATTGTCAGTATATTCGTAAATTCTAAGAGAAAAATGATTAATATATTAATTTGACGAGTTTCTTTCTTTTCTGGATAGTAATCTTGAGAATCAATTTTGGAAGAAATAGACAGTTGATTGTTTCCTTCTTCTCAGGTGTTCCAAAATGCCATACTTTGATTTCATACTTTGTTCATAAACTATTATTACAACTTATCCCTTGAACACAGAAATTTAAGAAACTTTTGTCAATCCTTTGTTTTGATATTATAATTTGTTAAGTAGCATTTTATTACTTTCTAAAGACATAACTCTTGATTCTTGATAATACTTTGATATCTTTGCATATGAAGAAAAAATTTTGAGAGATTTATTATCATTATACGAGAATTCTCTCAAATTCTTTCCTACTCGAATATTTGTCTTATATTTCATGAAAAACTGTTGAATCACATATATCACATAATTGTTAAAAATGGTAATTTCTATTTAGTGTTATCTTCATAAAACTCACAGTACTGATTTTGTATATGTAATACATTTTTTATAAAAGTAAATTTATCAATCAATTTAATACATGCAACAGAACTTTCATATAATTAATGTAAGGAGAACTTATTATTTCAATGGAGATTATTGTTTAGACTAGATTCTTGATATGTTGTAATACTAGAATATCTGTTCAAATCTTGTAAACAAATTCTTCCAGTATTTTTTAAAAATTTCAAATTTTTTCAAAATTAGAGAATTTTTAGCTATAACTTTATATAATATAAAATAAGTTTTCTTTTCACACATATATATATATATATATATATATATATATATACGTTTTTTAAATAATTTCTGTAAATAAAAAAATTAAGTTACACTTAAACTTCAAATAGAAAATTTGAAAATGTATTGAAAAGAATTTAAATAAATGACTTTTGTAAGTAATTGAAAAAAATGTGGTGGTGTGTGGTGTGGTGGTGGTGTGTGTGTGTAAACAGAAATATGTTTATAATATATATGTAAAATACATATTTAATTCATACTTTAGCCAACCAGCGATTTGCAAAAATGCTAAGAATATAAGAACAAGATTATAAAAGAAAGTTTTTTAAACAATTTTCTGAGTATTAAATTCTATACAAATTTCTGAATTTTCTAGGTAAATAGGAAATTCTTGAAAAGTGCCAAATTTTCTAAAAAGCATCCTGAATGTTAAATAATAATTTCCGTGAAAGATAAAATTTTAGAGAAAAAATAAAATTTCAGAAAATGTCAATATTTTACCCTCTCTTCTTTTGAGGATCACATCTTCGGCATTAACTATACTTCGTTGCAGATCAGGAATTGGACCTTTTACAGGAATATTTCTGCGAATATCAACTTTAATTCGACGTAGCTCCGTAGTACTAATTTGTATGCCCTCAGGACCTTTGAACAAAGGTATTGTCCCACTTGTAGATCCCTCTAATCTGAAGAAAATTCAATCGTAATGGATTAAATTAATGACAAAACTTTTTGATTAAATTTCCTCAAGAAAAGATCTTCAGGAAGACAATTTTACTTTTAAATATATTCTTGGAAATGCTGTTGTATATAATTTTAATTTTTTGTTCTACTTTGCCAATAAGATATTATGCATTTTTATATTTTTTAATATTGAATATTGTAACTGCTATTTGATTATTCTTTAAGATGTCTGCTCTGTGTATGTGTGTGTATATGACATATGCATTAAATCAAAGAATCTAAAATTTATGAATAAGGTGATATAATGATAAACATTAATAGTTTATATATTTTTGTATGTTGTAATTTCCTTTGTAAATTGTTTCATATATTATCTCTACTATTTTTATAAATTTTGTTTTATTTCTTTTAAAACATTCAAATATTTATAAATTTTTCTTTATAATTGCTTTTCTCTATAAAGTAAATGCTTAAACCAGTAGAAATGTATATACATGTATATACAGTCATATATATGTCTAAAACTTACTTTTCAAACAGCGTACCAGATTTGGAAGCACTTGTCGAAGATCTTCCTCTATGTCGATATTGTGGAGACTTACTACTGCTTTTGCTTCGACTATGATGTACAGATTTTGGCTCAGCATATCCTAAAGCTTGTGCACGTTTTCTTTCATACTCTAAAATCTTTTGCTGTTTCAATTTTTCATGTTGTCTTTCCCGTTCTTGTTGCCGTTGCCACTCACGTCTACGCCTTAGTCTTTCCTCTTCGGTCCTTGAACGTAGAATTGAATGAGAATCATGATCTTCATTACGAGCAGATCTTGATTCCTCATGTCGTCGAACATTAGTTGGTCGTGTTGGATTCATTATGGTGGAAATATGCAAAGCAGAATCTTCTGCTAAAATCATAACAAATACAAATTTTAAATTTTATTTCCTAATACAAAAATATCTCTAAATATCTTCGTTACAATTAGTCAGAACATTGCTTTAATAGATTAAAAGAAGTAAATAGTTTGTACTTGGAGTTTATAAATTGATATATTTAAAAATTAGTAGTAGATTGATAGATGAGTTAAAAAAAACTAAAAAAATGTTTGCTTACATTATTAATTTTTTAAAAATTATTAATCAATGTATTTTTTATAATTTTTTGCAACTGAGTTATAATTATATTAATTTTAGACATTATTATAACTAAATTAGTAAAGAACCAGTGTTTTATGAATACTAAAATTATGAATAATTCTTTTCTTGATAACTAAACATAATCTTCTCTATTCTAATGTTTATATATTATGCTCTTTAATGCATAAAAAATGCTAAAAAAGCATTACTTTATAAGTATCAAAATACAAATTTATCATTTTAATAGGAGACAATAATAAATATTACTAAAACTACTATACTATTATAATATAAATACTATTATAATAAAAAAATAATTTACTTATTGTAATAACAATGTGACATGCATAAAATTCAAATATCATTATATAAAGAACAAAAGAAAATACTTCTTTGATCACAGACTGAGTTTCTATAAGTTTCAAATATATAATCTGTCAAGTTTAAAAAGCAATAACAAATGTAATTCCTGTACTGAATATATATAATACAAATGTAATCAGATCTAATATACACAGACACCAAATCTTATGATACATACAAATTAAGATTTTTATATTATATATTATAGAATATATTTAGATAGTAGCTGTATTATAAAATTTATCAAAACAAATTTGTACATTCATATAAAACATACAGAATAATCAATCACAATCATATGTTCAATATAAAAAATAATATAATAATATTAAAATATAATAATAATATTGAATATAATATAATAATAATATTGGAACAATTACTTTTATTTCATATTTTATCATATTCTTCTTAAATTAAGATTTATTATAATTATTTTTCATTCCATCAGTCTTCCTCTTTCTCTTTTATAAAAAATTATACTGATAACTTTTCTTTTTCCTTCTACATTTCAATTCTCCATTTTCAATAAATATGTAATTTTTATATTAACAAATATATAAACTTAATTGATAATGAATCCAGCAAACACAGAATATTGCAGCAATATTGCGACAATATTACAACATTGCAGCAATGTTGGGGCAATGTTATAGCTGCAATATTTTGGTTGAGCAGGTATATTACCTATTATAAAAAAATAAAATTATATAAATTATATAAATTATATTTTCAGTATAAAAGGGAACAATAATCGGAGATATTTGTCTAGAATTTTTATGAATGTATAGAATAAAAAATATTTTATTATTAAAAAACTGCAAATGCTTCTTTTTCACTTTTAGCAGAATGATAAAAAATGTTTTTCTTCAAAATTGAATAAAAAATTGAATAAAGACATTTAACAATAAGTAATATGACCTTGTACATGCGTCTGATTTTATTTGCATCTATGAAGGAGACAATGAAATCAATGAAATATTAATTTCAAGTTAAAAGGTTGTCTTCCAGATAAATTAATATTGTTTTCAGAAAAAATTCAACCAAACAATAATTAAAATTTATTTGACCTTATCGTAACTTCTCACATATTACATTAAACTCACAGTATAACTATCTACCAGTGACCAAGCAATATCTCCATTTTATGTTAATTAAAATCATGCACATAGAGAATCCAAACAATAATAAGGCTTGTATTCATGGGTCTGTTCTTTTCAGCTGCACTGCTGCACTAGTGCAATTAGTTAGAGTGAAAGAAAGTATGTTTATCTCTTTCTAACTTATTGCACTAGTGCAGCAGTACAGCTGAAAAGAACAGACCCCATGTTACACATTCAGATAGTTCTCTGAGATAGCATTCGAAAATCTACCGTCATATGACGTTTTCGAGAGGTCGAGTTTAAAGGTGCGGCCTCATTGACGCTACTTATTAGCGTCAATGAGGCCGAGCTTAATAGCTTCGAGGCAGTTTATTAGATGTTATTAGCCACATTCAGCGGACTCAACAGTTGGGCAACATTACTAAATTTTCCGATGTAACTCGACGCTGATTGCTCGGACCTGAAAGTAGAGACCAATGAGACACTTCCGATTAGACACAGTACAATTGAACACAACTGGCTTTGATTGGCTAATCGTGCTGGTTACCCTAGGCATCGGTCAATATAATTGGCTGTGTCTAATCGTACTGTGTCTAATCGGGCAATCCCCGAGACCAATCATATTCGATTACTATTTGAGTCCGCTGAATGCGGCCATTGACCAATCACAGCTATTTTTCTGAAGAATGTATGGTTACATTTCGGGAGCGTCCCATTTTGACCATTCCCGATTGATCACAGCCAATTATATCGACCTGTGCCTAGGGTAACCAGCAATGATTAACCAATCGGAGAGTCCTATTTTGAATTGGCCAATTGGCGATGTGGTCAATCGAATCTCACCCTCCAATTCACGCATGATGCGCATGAAATGACAGAAAATGTATAGTTCATGTAACGCATATTATACATTTATGCGCGAATCGGAAAGTACCCTATTGATTGATCAATGATGTCTAGTAAACTATAATCACACTACGGGAATTGACCACTCAGGCCCGGTTCCACACTCGTTACCGTTACTTGTTACCACAGGTCGTTACCAATTTTCAAAAGTAACTAGTTATCGTTATCGTTACTTAAAAATAACGCGTCGTTACAATTTCGTTACATTTTTTAAATATAAGTTTATTAAATATCACAGGGTTTATTTTAAAATAAATGAAAACATTACTAAATTTTATCGAAATTCTGTATTAATTTTTAAAAGAATTTGCTGTTCAACTGTGTCATCATTTAGCTGCCCTCTTTGTGGCGTTAATACAAATCCACCGACACTGAACATCTTCACTAAACTTTTTTTTTCACATCTGTCCAATGACGCGTTTACGTACATGTGATTTTGCATTTCACACTCTTCTTTGAATGAAAATTACACCGAAATTGCAAAAAGTAGTGATAAATGTAACTGTTAAATTTGTTACTCGTTACTGAAAAATGTAACGAAATTACATTTTTCGTTACTAACGACGTTATAAGTAACGCGTTACTTCCCAACCCTGAGAAATATATATATCTAGAAATAGAAAAATACTCAAAGTTGTACACTTTAATTTATCAATTTTTTTACAAATTTCAACAATTTATTAAGAATATAAAAGAAATTATATGTATTCATAACGGTCAGTGACTGTATATAAGTATCAGATTTATGATTATCCGGTATTATACACACACACACACGACGCGCGACACGCACACATCTACACACAATATATATATATATATATATATATATATATATATATATATATGTATACATTTTCATTATAGCATATATTATGTATATGACTTAATTATTATATATATTCAGTATAAAAATTAATTTTCAAAAAAAGAGCTCAAGTACAAATTTGTTTTATTTAATCTATTGCAATGCTCTTACTAATTGTAATGAAGATATTTAGAGATATTTATTGTATTAGGAAATAAAAGTCAAAATTTGTATTTATTATGATTTTAGCACAGGATTCTGTTTTGCATATTTCCATCATAATGAATCCAACAGGACCAACTAATGTTCCACGACAAGAGGAAACAAGATCTGCTCGTAATGAAGATTATGATTCTCATTCAAATCTACGTTCAAGAACCGAAGAGGAAATACTAAAGTGTAGACATGAGTGGCAACAGAATGAAGAACGGGAAAGGCAACATGAAAAATTGAAACAGCAAAAGATTTTAGAGTATGAAACACAATGTGCACAAGCTTTAGGGTATGCTGAGTCAAAATCTTTAAATCATAATCAAAGTAAAAGCAGAAGTAAATCTCCTTCACAAGACCAACATAAAGGAAGATCTATGACACGTGTTGCTCAATCTGATATGCTGTTTGAAAAGTAAGCTTTAGACATATATATAACTGTGTACATTTTTTGAGGTTTCTGTATTTACTGATACTTTATAAAGTAAAGCGATTATAGAGAAATATTTGTAAATATCTTTAAGAGAAATTTAAAAAACTTATAAAAATATGGATAATATGAAATGAAGAAAATTACAATACAAAATATATAAACTAATGCTTATAATCATATCAATTTTGTTCCATTATAAATTTTAAATTATTTGATTTAACAAGATCTGCTCGTAATGAAGATCATGATTCTCATTCAATTCTACGTTCAAGGATCGAAGAGGAAAGACTAAGGCGTAGACGTGAGTGGCAATGGAAACAAAAACGGGAAAGGCAATATGAAAAATTGAAACAGCAAAAGATTTTAGAGTATGAAAGAAAACGTGCACAAGCTTTAGGATATGCTGAGCCAAAATCTGTACATCATAGTCGAAGCAAAAGCAGTAGTAAGTCTCCGCAATATCGACATAGAGGAAGATCTTGGACAAGTGCTTCCAAATCTGGTACATTGTTTGAAAAGTAAGTTTTAGACATATATATGACTGTATATACATGTATATACATTTCTACTGGTTTGAGCATTTACTTTATAAAGAAAAACAATTATAAAGAAAAATCTATAAATATCTGAATGTTTTAAAAGAAATAAAACAAAATTTATAAAAATAGTAGAGATAATATATCAAACAATTTACAAAGGAAATTACATTATACAAAAATATATAAACTATTAATGTTTATCATCATATCACCTTATTCATAAATTTTAGATTCTTTAATTTAATGCACATGTCATATATATATATATATATATATATATATATATATATATATATATACGCACACACACACACACAGAGCAAATATCTTAAAGAATAATCAAATAGCAGTTACAGTATTTTCAATATTAAAAAATATAAAAATGCATAATATCTTATTGGCAAAGTAGGACAAAAAATTAAAATTATGTACAACAGCATTTCCAAGAGTATATTTAAAAGTAAAATTGTCTTCCTGAAGATCTTTTTTTGAGGAAATTTTAATTTAATACAAAAAGTTTTATCATTAATTTAATCCATTACGATTAAATTTTTTTCAGATTAGAGGGATCTACAAGTGGGACAATACCTTTGTTCAAAGGTTTTGAGGGCATACAAATTAATACTAAGGATCTACGTCGAATTAAAGTTATTATTAGCAGAAATATTCCTGTAAATGATCCAATTCCCGATCTGCAACGAAATATAATTAATGCTGAAGATGTGATCCTCAAAAGAAGAGAAGGTAAAACGTTGCATTTCTTTAAATCTTTATTCTTTGCAGAAACTTAATTGTTTGTGTGTTATTTAGTATTACAACTTAAAGAAAAAAAGACAAAAGGTATAATTAGTTGCAAATATAAATTCTCACATATTTCGTAAAACAAATTTTGTAAAATTATCATCAATGTACAAATGACAAATTGTACAAAGAAGTATAATTAATTCTGAAGCAGCAATACTTATAAAATTTGAAAATATCTATAAAGATGATAAAATTTGTTTCTTAGAGCATTTGAAAAAATAGATTTCTACTTTCATAGAGATTTAAAACTAAAAATGATATAAAAAAATAAAGATGATTCCAAAAGTAATATTAGGCTGATGTATATATATATATATTAACATTTTTAAAAATAATAATTGTGATTTTTAGACTATCTTTTAACAATTTGATCAATTACATAGTACTATTAAATTTCAAAATTACAGTAGAAATAATAGTAATGAAGTATTCAAATAATATTGAATTACAGTTTGATGTGTGTGAAAATAAATGCAAAAATATAAAATGCAAATATCTTTTCTTAAGAATGATCAATTTTATTTAATAATATTCTATTTAATATTTATTTTTCGTTTTATGTATACAATCAAACATATTTTTTTATTAATCTATTAATTGTATAATGTTTAAAAATAAATTTTTTCTAATTTTTTGCAATAATTGTATGATATACTCATAGAAGATAATTTACAGTAGAGTCTATATGTAATGAATGTGCACAGAATCTTCATCTGGAAGATCTCATTAGATTTCTCTAGATTTTTTCTTTTATAATGCATATAAATTGCATTTTAATATAATTAAATATTTTTTTCTTTTATATTATGTAAATATATTTATTAAAACTATATATGAACTATATATTTTTTTAACTTTATTTGAATTTATAACTAATTAAACCAAAAATTGTATTGGAAAATAGTATTGTAGGGTGTTTATTTCTTGTAAAATTATGGAAAATTTGGTTTTCTCAGAAATTTTTTTATATCTGAAAAAATTAGAGAATTCTTATGGAATTTTGTTGGAACTCAGGGAAGTTTTTATAGATAATTTGATTCTTTGAACTTTGCTCTTATATTCTAAATAATTGATAATCCATTGATTGATTAAGTTATGAATTATATATATTTAAAATATACATGTTTTATAAATATATATCCTTATTTATATATTCAAATCTTAAGATCTTTCAAAAATATAAAATACGCACCTCTCAAGAATATAGAATATGCAGTATATATTTTTCATTGTAATTTTTAATAATAAAAAGATAAAAAACGTTATGCTGATTAAAAATGTTTATCTTACGAAAGTATTATTCAGATATTTCCGATACATTTTCAAATGTAACTTTTGAATCTTAAATGACTCTTTTTCATTTTTTTTCATAGAATGGAAAGCATTTAAAAAATGAATACAATAAGAGCATTTTTAGAAAGTTGCATCCAAATTTTTAAAAAAATTGAATTTTTGAACAAAATAATTTGAAAGATTAGATAATTTTTGGAAAATCTTTTTATAACATTCGAATAGATATCTTGTATTATTTAGTAAATTTTATTACTGTCTTAATTAAAACAAATTTCAAAATACATTGTTAAAAATATAAGTTTGATTATAGAGTATTACAATATTATAATGTATGTCTCTATGAGATAATTTAACTTTAAAAGATAGTATTTTCAATTATCAGGCTTCACTTCAAGAACTTAACAGAATTAATAAACAGTTGAAATTTGATTCATTGATTAATACTTAGAGAAATAAAAAAAATATTGCAATAATAATTAAAAGAACAAGAATGTTCAAATATAAATTTTCCAAAAATATTATTTTTTTTAATATGGTACATAATGATATTAATTATTAGAGCATAAATTACAAAGTATCATCAAATATAACTTCCTGATTTAAGAAATAATATCATTGTGATTTATCAACGAAAATGCAATATTTTCTGGAAAACAATTTAGAAGATTAATACTACTCATCATTGAAGATTTTACAATCTGTTTCATCATTGTTCAATCAAACTAGTGTAAACAGCATATACAACAAGTTATAAAATAATTTAATCAAAGCTGATTATTGGACAGTTGTAAAAAATACTGTATTTTAAGTTTTTGTTTCATGAAATACTTGTATGAAATAAGTGATTTTTAATATGTGATTTAATCAAATTATATATATATATATATATATATATATATATATATATAAAATTATATATTTATATTTCAGAAAGTTGTACTATTACAAATATTATATTAATATAATGTATAATATTGTAAACACTGCAAGAAATGTTTAGTTACCTGTTTAGTTACCTCACTGAATTTGATTATAAAATATTTTGTTGCAAATCTAACAAAGTAGAATAAATAGTAGAGAAGATTTGTCTTTAAAAATTGCTAATATTTCTATTACTTGCAAATAAATAGTATATGCAATATTATTCTTGATGCTACAAATCAATAATAGAATATTACAAAATTATCAATAATAATAGAACTTAAATTTTAATTTATATTACGCGCATACGCGTAGGTGTGTGTGAGATTTGAATAGTAAAAGGAGATATCAATAATCATTGAATTCATCGTTTGAAGACGTTAAAGAAGACAGAAATTATTGTCTGATTTATATTTGCTTACTCAAATTATATTATAAAGCATAAGCATAATTATATTATAAATTATATTATAAGCATAGTAATAAATTATATAGGAGAAGGATCTAAACCAATATTCGACAGAGAAGAAATAGAAAAAGCTACTAAGATTAATGAAATAGAAGAGCGACATACGGCTGCTATAGATGGAGAGCAGCAGTCAGGTACGCATTATAGAGATAATTTTGCTACATTATTTCAATTGTTATTTAAATTTAAAATGTTATTGATTTTATAAATTAGTAAATTTGTAAAATTGCGATTGCAACTTTTCTCAGATTCCAAATTCTCTAGAAAAATATTTAAAAAAACCAGAGATGTATGTTACATGTTGTGTATAGAATCTCAGACCAAACTGGATGCACATCTCATTTATAAATCTTTATTTAATTTAGCAAAATAATAGTTGTGTATCGATTTTAGTGTTCAACATTTTCTGAGTCTTCGATATATTAATATGTAACATATTTGAAAAATTCTTGTATTTTAATGATATTACAGATTCAACCGATAAATCGCAAACTTCTTCATTATTGTCATCTATATTGTATGATTCTGAATATCTATCTTTCGACCAGTTTTCACCTAAGTCGCATACCAGGTATGGAATTAAATTATTGATATTTGTTTTTATTAACAAATTTTATAGTTCGTTATCATTAATATACTAAGATCGTCATCATTAACATTTTTATTATTGCAAAAATATTAACATTTACAGAAATATTTAACATTAAATATATTATTAGATTAATTGAACTATACTTGCAAGAGAAATGTGCAAATATTTTCTTTAAAAATATGTGGCCATTATTTATTTTATTATAATTATTATTTCTATTACTATTGTGTTATAGATCACTTATGGAAGAAAAATCTTACTGCGACAGATATCGTGATAGATCGAGTGAACATTCTCGTAAAAGAAAAGACAGAAATAGAGATAGTGACAGATCCAGAAAACGAAGAAGAGATAAAGATAGAGATAGAGACAAATCCAGAGAACGAAGAAGAGACAGAGATAGAGATAGAGACAAATCCAGAGAACGAAGAAGAGACAGAGATAGAGATAGAGACAGATCTAGAGAACGAAAAGATGTTGCACCGCATTATGTCGAGCCACCAATACACGTGCCAGACAGAGATAGAGATAGAGACAAATCCAAAGAACGAAAAGATGTTGCACCGCATTATGTCGAGTCACCAATACACGTGCCTATCTATTATGTGAGTTATATAATTCCATAGTCTAATTTTCAATCTAACGAGTCTCTATACAGACCTCCATAATACTTTAATTTGACTTGTAATTGGTTCATTTTTCAACTTCTAGAATCTTCCTCCAAGTCCAATTGTAGTAAGCCCTATGGTCCCATTTAGAGGACAAGTCCCTCCTATGGCAAGAGGCCGACATTCTGCTCTAATGGCACCGGTTAGACCATTCCCTCCATGGTTTATTCCTCCGGATATGTACAGATTGCGACCTCCACCACCAAACCCAAGTAAATATAGATATTATATAAATGTAATATAAGGTATATTATATATATTTCATATATATGTATAATATGATATTTTGCAGGATATGGACCGTTTTAAAAATCTTTATAGTCTTTATACTTATTATTTTTTGTAACTTTATATGTTGAATAATATGGAATTGTGGTGAAAAAAGATATCACAAATTATTCAGCTAATCGTATTAATTTCAAGATTATAAAAGTGGGCGAACAAAGAACAAGAAAATCTTTACAAATTTTAAAGGTCATAGTTAGTTATTGAATATAATTAAAGCGATTTATTAAATTCCAATCAAATTATTTTCTATTAATATTAAGTAATACAAGAAATTTAAGAATGGATATTTTCAAACAGCTTACACATCATAAAAAAGTTATTTTTATATTTTGATGTTTGATATTTTGACAACTCTATATGTTGAATAATATGGATAGTTTATATTTTGACGTTATATTTTGACAACTCTATATGTTGAATAATATGGAATTGTGGTGAAAAGAAATATCACAAATTATTCAACTAATCGTAATAATTTCAAGATTGAAAACTGGGAAAACAAGAAGCAAGAAACACATAGAAGATCTTTACATTGTTACAAAGTTCTACCAAACCATTCTATCAATACTGAATAATACAAAAAATTATTTTGAAAATGGGCATTTTCAAAAACAAAATCTACATATATATATATATATATATATATATATATATATATATACATACATATATATATATATATACAGGGTGGGGCATTTATCTTGAGACAAGATAATATCTCGATTGGAGTCGATTATTTTGAAAAAAGTTTTAGACAAAAGTTGTATGGTTTCAAGGGGGACATAAAATGGTGTCATTAGTTTGATCTTGAAGAGCCACCTGAAGGACACGCGAAGGTCAGCTCCAACTTTTTAAATGGGACACCCTATATGCTTTTGCATATTCTTGTAGCTCATCTCAAGAGCTTTCCAAAACACTATAATTAAGTTAGTTTTCATTAAGTACTTTCCAATTTATGAGGCTTGAAATCATTTTTTAATTTTACATAAACCGTAAAATATCTTGTAAAATATTCATTTTTCGATTATTTTACCTTAATACTTTTATGTACAAAATAATGAGAAGAATCAATTGGTGTAAAGAAAACACATAATTGCTTCGAACAAAAAAAATGTAATTGTTAATTGCAAATTACATTTTTTTGTTCGAAGCAATTATGTGTTTTCTTTACACCAATTGATTCTTCTCATTATTTTGTACATAAAAGTATTAAGGTAAAATAATCGAAAAATGAATATTTTACAAGATATTTTACGGTTTATGTAAAATTAAAACATGATTTCAAGCCTCATAACTTGGAAAATATTTAATGAAAACTAATATAATTGTAGTGTTTTGGAAAGCTCTTGAGATGAGCTACAAGAATATGCAAAAGCATATAAGGTGTCCCATTTAAAAAGTTGGAGCTGACCTTCACGTGACCTTCGAGTGGCTCTTCAAGATTAAACTAATGACACCATCATATGTCTCCTTTGAAACCATACAACTTTTGTCTGAACAATTTTTCTGTATTCGGCTTACCAACGGAGTTATTCAGGTGGCCTGTTTTAGATGCCTCACCCTGTATATATATATATATATATATATATATATATATATTATATATAATTAGTAATATATATATATATATTGTAATATATCAAAAAGCAAACACTTATTAATCATGTTTTCTTGATGAGAACTTAATTAAAATAATTATTTTAAAAAATTAAAATAATTCCATTGACATACAGCATATGTAGATTGTGTCCTTTTCTATTTTTTCTGAGTAGATTTGCAAAATTCAGAGAAACAAAGAGAATAAAAAATAAAATTAAAATCATGTGTAAATGATATAAAGAATTGCTATCTTGAACATTGCAAACATTATATATGAGATTATTATTATTCAAGAAAATGTTCATAAACTTTCAGCATTATTATTGATTTAATATGAGGATTTTGATTTCATAAAAGAATCTAACAAATAATAGGAATAATATAAAATATCTGGATACATTTTATATTATTACATCTTTGTTCTATTTTATGTGGCTATTATATATTTGTTCTTTTATATAATATATTTGTAATATATTTTTAATATATTACATATATTTATATGTATATATATATACATATATTTGTAATATCTAAATTAAGATTAAAATATATTTGTAATATATTTTAATCTTAATTTAGATATGTATATTAAATATAAATCTAAAATCTTTTCTATATAACAATCTAGAAGCATCTATAGAGTTGTCTTTATATATATTTTGATTTATATTATATTAATTAAAATTATATGTATTAATTTTCTGTAAACAGTATAAAATGGATTCTTAAAGAAAGTATGTTTTGGGGGCATATTTGTTTATTTCTTTATTCCTCTCTTTACAAATAAAAAAAATGTAATTCTTCGACATGTAAAGCATTTAAATGTCCAATGATTCAATAATTGACTATTTTCACATTTTCTATGTGGTAATCAATGAAAAACAAATTATACAATAACATTTAATTTTCACATATGTCATTAGAATAAAAATTAGAAATTAAGGAGTAAAAAAAAGTTTGAAAAAGAGAAAATGTGCTATCTCTTGATAGAGTTCAAATAATTAAAATGTAATTATGTGATATATTTTAATATTTTTCTTCGTTTCTGAACATTTTGTGTAGATTACATAATATAGTTTGTATAGATTCAATTATTTCTAATGGGATATTTGGAAAAATAAGTGTAACATATTGTACCTTTTATTCATTTTCTTGCATCTAATTCACATAGCTATATACATATAATTATGTAATATGAGATCAATACCACACAAGGGAAGAAAATTTCAGTTTACAGGAAAATAATTGTTCCAGAGTGGCATTTAAATCGTAGTACTTTCTGTGTTTTTAATGGAATAGATATCCAAGAAGAAAAAGTACTCTAGAATAAAATAAAAATCTGCAATATTTTAGAGTTTATTACTATTTCAAATTGGCCTATAAAAAAATAATATATTAATCTGTACATACTGTATTAGTATTAATTTAATCGCTAAAAGAATTTTAATGACCACGTTTGTTATAAATTGTGAATAGAAGGTGCGTGTACATTATGATTTATTAATATATATAGTATAAAAGATTCCGCACATTTTATGTGAAAAAAGTGGCTTCAAATTAACTAAAATTAAAATATGTTATAGTTTAGGCGGTGCTGATTAAAAGTTTTCTCGTGGAAAAAGTCTTAAAGATTATAGTAAAAGAAAATGTCTTAAAGATTATAGTAAAAGAAAATGTAGATTAAAATATATTGAGATAATTATAAACATTTGTTTTAGATTTATAATATGTGTTATTGTCTATATTAAATTTAAAATACAATTTTTAAAATATTAAGATTTTTGCGTTTATTTGCATATACATCTTGGGATTTCACTGCCATTATGTTGCTTGTGCGCAAAAAAGTTTCTTCCTAAACAGCATTAATTTTTTACAAAGAGAGGTTTAAGATCTAGATTACTTGACAATAGCGTTTTCGACATGGACGTAAGAAATAATGGTCAGAGTGTATTGCTGCGGGGGTGAAGCTCAAAGGGTGAGGGGAAAGAAATGTCTACTGTAACGGAATATGAGGCATGTAAGATGGCGACGAATATTAATTTCACGGAGTGTGATATTTTTGAATTTCTTAATATTCAAAAATGATTCGGAATAACACAGCGATATCAGATGATAGATGATTTCACGGAATCTCTCATATTTTATTCGATTTACGTCCATGCGACGTGAAAATAGATGCTAAATCTGATGCATCTAAGATGGCCGCGACAATAAACCCCTTACCCATCAGATTTCACTCCCCTCGTCTAAAAGAGTACTTTATGCTCTGTCCAGTATTTCTTACGTCCATGGTTGTCGAGTTCAATCGTCCCAGGGTAGATAACTAGACGTTATTGATCAATCACAGCCATTCTTTTAGAGAATGTAACTATATATTCTTCAGAAGAATGACTGTGATTAGTCAATAACGTCTAGAAAACTACCCCGGAGCGATTGAGGCTGCGTTCCAAAATTCACTGTCACTACTGAAAATCTATAGTTTACGTGGCGTACACTATAGTTTTTCAGTACTGGCAGTGAATTTTGGAACACAGCCTGAACTCGACAAGTCGAAAACGCTATTAATAAATATCCATTAGCATTATGAGCTAAGAAACAAACTTCTTATTATCAAATACAAGAAGGAAAAGAAAAATAAATATCATAATGAAGAAATCAGGTAGGTGAACATTGAAATTTAGTTTCAGTTACATATTTCTTCCATTTTTGACATTATAAATGATACATATAAATTATAAATTATGTTAGGTTAAGTCACGTGCATATTATAATAAAATAATATATAACAAACTTATAAAATACCAACTTTTTTTATATTATTTGAAATACTTAATATTCAGATAGATGATAGATGATTATTTGTTCTATAAATAATTCTGAAAAATTTAAATGTGATTTATAATACTAAAATTAATCATAAATATAAAATTAAGCTAATTATAAATTCCTGAATTAAATTATATGTTTATTCTATTTTTAGCTAATAAAAATTATCGAGGAAAAAAGCTAATTGATAAAAAATTCCTTGGAAAGGCACCAATTGATAAACAAGTATTAGCAAAATATTCTAAAGGTCCTGGACTTGATTTAAAAAGAAAAAGAAATGTAATTAAAAATAAAGTTGTTAGGAAAAAATTGCAGCAAAAAGAGAAAATTATAGAGAAACAGGTAGAAGCTTCTGCTCGGGCAGAATTATTATTAACAGAAGAGCATGGCTACTTGGAAGCTGATGAGGGAGAAACCACTACCGAATATCGGCAAAAGCAACTTACAGACAATGTGGATATAACAAGTGCAGCCAAACAATTCAAATTAGACTTACAATTTGGTCCATATTGCTTTAGATATACCAGGAATGGTAGACATTTACTTTTAGGTGGAAAACAAGGTCATGTAGCAGCTTTTGATTGGGTGACAAAAAAGCTGGCCTGTGAAATAAATGTAATGGAGTCTGTGCATGATGTTACTTGGCTACATCTAGAAACTATGTTTGCCGTAGCACAAAAGGATTGGGTTTATATATATGATAATCAAGGAATAGAATTGCATTGCTTGAAAAGAATGAATGGTGTAACAAGATTAGAATTTTTGCCA